TTTTCACAGGTGTCTCCCAGCCTGCGGGGGGGAGCCAGCAGTCCCAGGGAACTCAGCTCAGCTCCCACGGTGAGTTGCTTGCAGCCCCTGTGGTGAATTTGGGAGCTGTGGCTCTCAGAAGTCACACATTTTACCAATTGCGATGGTGTTAGGAACTCATCCACCACGAATGGCAAGGGGTTCCTGTACTTCAAGCTGCTGCTTGGCAGTTCACTTAAACCAGGGGTTTTGTATGCTTATTTTCTGGAGTCCTGCCATAAAACACCTGTGTCCTGACTCCTCACAAGTGCACACTGCTCACAACTAACATTGGAGACAATGGGAGCTGAGGGTCAGTGCCTCAAAGAGGACCTTAAAATAGTGGTCATGTGCAACTTTATCTCTGTGCCAGTGTTAGTGCCTTAGCTATCTTAGCTACACTGTTCATGCATGGAGGGGGGGGGGAGAAGAGTTGCATTCAGCTGTGCCAGAGGTTCTCTGCCACTGTCGAAGAACTGAATAATTGTGTGCAGCCAATAATGGACATACAGGATGAAACCCCGTTGTTCTTGTGCATTGACTGAGGGAAGGCTCCTAGGGAAAGCCAGTATCTGAGCATGTAAGTACTGCTCCCTTACCTACACTAGGGCTGCATCTAGACTGGCATGATTTTGCACAAAAGCAGCTGCTTTTGCGCAAAATCTTGCTGCCTGTCTACACGGGTCGCGAGTATTTGATCAAGAAAACTGACTTTGTAATGTACAAAATCAGTGGTTCTTGCGCAAATACTCTGATGCTCCTGCTCAGGGATAAGCCCTCTTGCACAAGTATTCTTGCACAAGAGGCCAGTGTAGACAGGCAATGTTAATTTCTTGCGCAAGAAAGCCTGATGGCTAAAATGGCCATCGGAGCTTTCTTGGGCAAGAGAGCGTCTACACTGGCATGGATGCTTTTGCGCAAAAGCATATGCCAGTATAGACGCTCTCTTGCGCAAATACTTTTAACGAAAAACTTTTCCATTAAAAGTATCTGCACAAAATCATGCCAGTCTAGACGCAGCCTAGGGTTACAGCATAAGTTAGGATGATAGAAGGGAATTTGTTACTGATGTACAGCTTGTGAGTAAATGTGCCTTTTGCAGTGCAAATAAGCTAGATGGCCCTGTGCATGCTCTGCCAATTTTGGTGTTGCGTAGAAACCAGGCTGCATCAAGCTTCTGAATCCATAGCAAGTAGGTTGTCTCATCACCCTGTCATAGTCTGGTTTATTAGGACAACCACTTGGTTTTAGGTCAAAAGGTCAAACTATCCCCCTCCCCCCGCTATTGCTGCCTTAAAACACTGATGAACTTTTTAATGGTGGCTGTTGCCACTGCCAGCTGCACCCTTTGTTTTGTAAGGACGCAGAAGGCAAACGATTCACTTGAGTTCTCAACAATCCTCGGGAGGGATCTCAACTGCACTTGGGGTGGCAACATGCGCAGCTATAGAGCCTGCCCCCTTCTGGGGTGAGCACAAGCCAAGATTAGGGTAATTCTGCATCCCAATGCTGCCTTTTGCTAGTTCAAATGCCTGCTTTCCCTTCATGCCTTTTGTTCCTCCACTGTGGCCCATGGGCCTCCAGCACCCAGGGACAGCCCTCTGTCTTTGCCAGGAGCCATTGGCTTTCCTGCAGCACTCAGAAGGGCTGGGGGCTCTCAGGCGCAGATCAGCATGTGGTGTGTGATCATGCCGCTCAGATAACTTGTCTTGTGATCAGGCCCAGAACTAATTGTTGGGGGAGGGGTGGAAGAGTGTCTTCTACACTGACAGCCTGGAGTAATGGTGTCTGGCCAAGGCTCCAGGCCTGGGGCTCCTGTTGAGCAGCCACTATTGTTCGTCACTACGGTAATTAAAATGCTACCTTGCCCTCCAGTGGGGGTGGGTAGGAGTGTGCCTGGGAAGGGGGGAAGGGAGTAAGCAAGCCTTGTACTGTAAACAGAAATCTCCAGTCTCTGCTGCTGGCTGGTAGTAGAGTGGGGCTCTCTTCCTGCAGTGGGGCTGCAGAGCCAAGGAAGTGTCACTTTCAGAGCCGCAGCTGAGAGGGTCACCTATAGTGGTTTCACTCAAGTGCTTGCATGGTGGACCCCTGTGCCGCTGCAGCAGGGCTGTGATCTGTCAGATCTTACTAGCTCTGCCAGGGCAGGCTGGAACTTCCCCAGTGACAATACAAGTGAAGCAGCTGTAATAGAGCAGTAAGTCCTGCCCCATTAGTGTGTGGGTCTCCCCTAGTTGAGTACCTATTGGGGTACAGGGAATGGAAAAAGACTGCTCAGGGGTCAGCAGTGCAGTGAGAGCCTATGCCCAGCAGAGCTGGCCTTTGCAAAACACATCCTACATCTGGGCACCTGTGAAAGAAAGCTACCTGTGGGGCCCACATAATAGGCAAGGCAAGCCACAGCGTCCCCACCTCTGCCACAAGTTTATTTACAAAAAATGTTACAGTCCCTGAGCACTGAGACGTTAAAAATCCACATGGCTTGCACATGGGAACAATCCCACCCCATCTCTTGCAGCAAAAGCAGCCCATCCCACATTTGGAACAGGCCCCAGGGGAGAACAGGTACGGAGTGGAGGACTCTGTCCCTGGGATTGCCCTAGCGGTAACAGGCAAAAGGGAAGTACAGGCCACATGCTGGCAAGGTTTGAGCATCCCTGCTTCGGATGAACTCTGGTTCGGTCTCACCGAAGAATCTACAGGAAGCACATGGAAAGAGCAGCATACCCCATTTCCTTCTCTTTCAGGCTCTCCTCTCCATTGCTGGGAGAACAGGGCAGCGGACGGTAGGGGAAGCGGTACCCCATTACTTAGTGTTATTGGCAGATAGTTCTCACTGTGGTGAGTATAAGATTAATCCTTACCCTGATCTCTGCAGATGACTGTACCTGCTTCTACATAACAATGAAGCAAGGAAGGAAAACACAGTGTTGCAGCAGTGGAGGTTCCCCAGCAATTCTCCTCTATCTTTCAGTTCCTGTCACTCAACAGACAGGGCTGTCACCCCATGTCTCTGTGCATCCCTAAAGACTTCCCCCTCAGAATCACAGAGGCCCGAGTGGGTGCTGCAGAGGCTATTTCAGTGCAGTACAGAATAGAGCACAGGAAATGGCCAGCAGCGGACGTTGGAGCTGAAAACGCAGTCCTGGCTCTGGTCTACGTTCAGCACCCTGCAGCTTCAGTGCACATGCACGGTCAGATGGAGCAAGGCTCAGGCTGGGCCGAGGGGGCAGGCTTCCTAGGAGAGTTCTTTTTATCCTGTTAGTTGCTTTGATCACCTCAGTCTCTCCTCTTGGAAATAACTGCAACAGGAACGCTCCAAGTGACGCCCACTGGGCTTGGGAATGTTGGCAGCTGGAAGGCCTGATGCCCAGTTACTCCTTGAAGCCCTGGATGCTACAGAGAATCCTCTTCTGATGGCCTGGAAGCACTATCCCCATCTTCTTCAAATCCCTTGAACAGATTGGGGGAGGGAGGAGAGAAAGATCAGCTGAGTCACTGCTCTTGCTCCTGGTTGGTAGGGGAGGGGCACATTCTGTGGAAACCAAACCCTAGGACCAGTTCCTAGGTCCAGGCACGTCTCCCTGCCTCCGGCTTAGAGCCTGCTGCCTCCAGTGCCTTCCTCTGTAATCAATGGATTTTAGGACCCTTGGCAGTGCTGCCACCAACACCTGCCTGCTAGCTGCTACCTTCTTGCCATTAGTATCTGGGACATAGGGGGGAGCAGACAGGCACCCTGGGCACTGAGCTTACACATCACTGACTATTGTAACTAGCCCAACTCTTGCACCCGTTATCTCCCCACCACCACATAAACCAGCCCCTTCCAGTGTCCCATTCCCAAGGCCTCTGCCCTTCTACGCTGATGTTCCCTTGAATCGTGTACTTATCCATTCCCTGCCCCTATGTGCCCTGCCCATTTCCTGATACCTCAAGAGAGCATGAGGCCTATGCCACTCTCCCAGCCTGCTCTCCCTCCTCCCAACTGAGCCCTAACCACGGGCTCCCCTGATGCCCAGGTTCAGGCTCCATGTGAAGCAGAGACTTGGCTCTGCTCCTGGATACACTTTCCCCTCTGGGCTGAGCAGGAGACAGCCCCCTTTGCAGGCAACCGAGACCCAGGAAGAGCTTTGGCGTCTCCAGATCAGATGCTGTATCTGGAGCAGATTGAAGGCCACTGCGATGCTAGAGGCAGTAGAGCAGAGCGCCTGGACAGCTGACTGAGCCAGACCATGGAAAACTTGTCCCTGCAGAGCCTCACATGCCGCCCTCCCTGCTAGCCTGTTCAGAGGCTGATGCAAGCCCTGCTCCTCCTTTCCAAAGCCCTGATGGGCTTGGAGCAGGCCTGTGCCAGTGCTGCCTCTCAGTGCTAAAGCAGAACACCTGCCGGTGGCTGATGGGAGCCCACTGTATGCCTGCAGGACACAGCAGAGCCTTTAACTCAGACTTCAGACAGGAGGGGAGGGCAGAGCAGATAAGACAGCCTGTAAGGAGGGACCGGGTTACAGCTATGGAGCAAGCTCCAGGGAATTAGGCTGAGCTGGGTTTATCACCTTATCGGAAAGGGGCGAGTCCAGAGAGCAGGAAGGGGGTACCAAGAGGCCCCTGGCTAATTTGTGCTGGAGGCGTGTTCAGACACCAAAGGGATGGTGGCAGAAGATTAGTGTGGATCTTGCCCCAGGCTCTACTGGCCAGAGGGAAGCCAGAGCCACCCCGAAGGGCCGCAGTGCCTACTTACTCGGTAGTGAGCTCTAGGATGGAGTCCATGGTGTCCAGGCCAGCGGTGCGGAAGCTGATGATGTAGCGTTTCATGCGGATGGATTCCAGCCATTCTGGGATTGACTGATAAGGGATCCCATCAGACCCACTGCAGCTGGGGAGCCGCAGCGTCACCCTGGGGACAAAAAGTCGTCATCAAAGCAACTGCCTTCAACAGAATGGCAGCACCCTCAAACTGGGACTTATCTAAGGGGCAAGAGTGCCCTCTGCTGGGGCCAGGCAGGTATGTCTGCTCCCTGCACTCCCTGGGACCCAACCCAGCAACCTTCCTGTGCTGACACCAGGGAGACAGAACTTCATTTCTTGCACACACAGGCCTAAAAGCTCCTCTTCCCTGTGTTGTCAGTGCCCCAGCCTCTGGGAAAGCACAGATGCTGAACCCAGGAACCCACAGCATTCTCCTCTCAGATCTGCAGTACCCCCCAGCCCAGCACCACTACCTGGGGTCGAAGTCTGCAACGGCACGGAGCAAATGGGGGCTGGAGATGAAGTGTTCCAGCTGGTCCTGGATCTCCTGGAAGCGGGGCCGTCGCATGCGATCATGTGACCAGCAGCCTTTCATGAGCTCATAGAGGATAGATGGGCAGTCCACTGGCGGGGGGAGCCGGTACCCATCCTCTATGCTCTTCATCACCTACACACAGAAGGGCAGAGACTTGTGACGACAGCCCTGAGCTGAGACACATTTCTATGGGAAGATGGAAATCAGTATCCACTGATCTGCAGGACTCTACTCCCTGGAGCAGAGGTAATGTGTGTGGGAGGAGGGGGGTGGGTCATGACGGGTCACATGCTACCAAACGTTGTGGGTGGGAGGGGCTGGCCAGCAGTGAGGGCGGAGAAGTGGAACAAGGTGGCCCCAGCTGCTTTGCTCTTCCAGCCATGCTGCTCTGGGGGAGAGGGTGGGGCCACCTCGATGCACCCTGGCAGGAAACAGAGCCATGTGGCCTGGGGAGCAAAGCTGGTGGGGCTAACTTGCTCCACTTCCCCTGCAGTGAGTGCGGGGGGGTGGGGAGGAAGGAGAAACTGCGGACCACTGCTGCTGGTGCCAGCCTGCTAGTCCCTCAGGCCATATCAGTTGGGGCAAGAGGTGGAGCACGGACAGGACAGAGGTGGGGAGAGTCAGGTCCTGCGACAGAGGGGATTGTCCTGGTATTTCCCTAGTCTGGGTGGGGTCACATGGCCAGCCCAGGAGATGATGGAACCAAAAGGAGAAGAGGGGGGTGCTGCCACTCCCAGGACCCAGCACCTCAGGAAAGCAGCATCTCCCAGCCATGCAGCTCTACTGTTTCCAGACCCGCCCCAGCAGAGCTGTACGACCCCAGGCAGGAGCCACTGCTGTATGGAAGGGACAGCTGCATGCCTGGGATAAGCTGCCAGCACAGGGCGCAGGCTCCTGGGAGTGGTGGCACCATATTCTTCTCCTCTGGCCACGGATGGAAACTTGTATTCACACAGGGCTCTACTTGTGGGCAGATTCTACTGAGGGCAGGACACCACTGAGATTATCCAGGAGGGGCTGGAACACCTCCACCGGGAAAGCCCATGCAATGGTCACAGTATCTTCTGGGGCCCTGAGCAATGTAACGCAGATGGGCTCACTTCGGAACGGTTGTGGGGGAAGGTCAGTGGGCAGTCGAGCGAGGGATCAGGAGGCTTGAGATGCCAGGGAGTGCACTGATAGGTATAAGGGGCTTTTAGGTGACATTTGCCACTGTCACCTTCCCCCCCCACCCACCCCACACACACACGTTCATCTTTCCAGATGTGAGATATGGGGGTCTGTGGGCATAGCCCAGGACTGGTAGGGGAAGGGTTAATAGTCTTGGAGGAAGAATCCAGCAGGCTGACCTTGCTGAGCACAGAAAGTCATCCTTTATCTTTATGTGGGATTCCCTTGCTTAAGCAACCCTTCAGGGACCAGCCTGCTACCTGGGGGAAATACAGGTGACGCTTCATTAGCAGATGTGAGATATGGGGGTCTGTGGGCATAGCCCAGGACTGGTAGGGGAAGGGTTAATAGTCTTGGAGGAAGAATCCAGCAGGCTGACCTTGCTGAGCACAGAAAGTCATCCTTTATCTTTATGTGGGATTCCCTTGCTTAAGCAACCCTTCAGGGACCAGCCTGCTACCTGGGGGAAATACAGGTGACGCTTCATTAGGAGGCTGGTGTTTTTGTTTTCTGGCCTCTCCAACATGAATGAGGTCCAGGTAATGAGCTTATTCCAGTGTCACAGGGCTGGGGTCTGAACACACATGAGCAATGGCTGTTCTTAGAGGGTGGGGTGACACAGCAGGGGCTGCAAACTGTGTGCCTTCTCGGTTCCATTCAGCCTATGCCCCGCCCTGCCTGCTCAGCACAGCCCCACCCTCCTTACCTCCTGATTGGTCATGTCTCCGTAGGGCTTGTCCCCGAAGGACAGCACCTCCCACATGACAATGCCGTAACTCCAGACGTCGCTGGACGAGGTGAAGATGCGATGGGCAATGGCCTCGGGTGCTGTCCAGCGGATGGGGATCTTCCCGCCCTGCAGGGAGGGGTGAGAGCACAGCTAGCAGTTACCCCCGGGCCGTATTTCAGCACTGTTCGGCCCAGCAGAGCCCCAAGTGAATTACAAACCATACCTAGCAAGGGGCCCGCTTCACCCACTGGGCTAAATAAGGCAACTTTAAGTGAGTGACACGTTTTAGAGAAGACAAGAAGGAGACTCCTTTATACAACAGAATCCAGAGGGGGGCAACATGGTACCATCCAGGTTGGAATTTGGTCAGGACACAGTGGTTAATCCCAAAAGTTTATATAAAAAATGGCACAGGCTAAAGATGTTCAGGACTTTGGTGGTTTGCTCCACCTAAAAGACAGCCCCCCAAGTACAGTGCTGGCAAGCATCCTACCAAGGTCAACACTGACTCCATAGGGAAGAGGACCACCATCCGAGTTACTCACCCCCACCATGCAGGTCTCTCATCCAAATCCTCACGTGGCCTGGCCACCCTTAGCAAGGCGGTTCAGGGGGCTCTCTACCCACAATGCACAATAACTCCACTTTGAAGTTAAGACCCTGACGGCCCCAAGCCACGGTACCTTGGTTTCGTATGTCCCCTCCGCATTGTTTTCCAGTATTCGGGAGAGGCCGAAGTCAGACACCTTGCACTGCAAGCCCTGAGTTACCAGGATGTTGCGGGCAGCCAAGTCCCGGTGCACGTAGTTGCGGTCTGAGAGGTAGGTCATACCCGAGGCAATGCCTTGTAGCATAACTACCAGCTGGAGAGAGCTGAACTTGTCCTCGTTCTCCTGCAGAGCAAGGCGGGGTGGGGGGAGGAAACAAGCCCATCAGGTCACTGGAGTCTGCAGATTTCTCAGTTTACAGTTTCTTACCAGCTCGCAAGCCAACATCACAGGAGAGAGGATCAGAAGAGAGGAGGGGGAGCCCTTTGGAATCAATCAGGGACCCACAGTCCAGTCCCCAGCAGGGAAAGCCCCATGGCAATAAACAGTCTAACTGGGATCCAGCCTCAGCTGCAGGGGCAATTCCCAATGAACAGAGCTCTCAGAGTGGAAGGGGCCACAACAGCCTAGTTTCCTTGCACCTCAGCACAGGCAGTGGCCAAGAAGTGCCCAGATCATAGGGACATGTTACAAACTTTGGTCCCTCACCCGGAGGAAGGTGTCCAGGGCTCCATTCTCCATATACTCAGTGATGATCATCATTGGTTTCCCTGGGGCAAGAGGAAAAGAGCATCACCCACACTGCATCCTTCTGCACTAGAGGACCCGCAGCACACCACCTGGCTCCCTCGCCCACAAAGCAGCATGACTCCTCATTTCTCACTGACCTGTTGTGTCCTGCACCTCACGCCCCCAGCTCGGAGCCCAGCCCCAGCCATCTCCCTGCCTTTCTCCTAGACCACATCCAATTGCCCATCCCCGCTCAAGCTCCAGGGATTAATTCATACCTTTCCTCTCCTCGTGCCACAGAAGAGACACCCTTTCTCCTCATTCCCCCACTATCCCTTCTGGGGGCGGTCATGATGGTGTCCCCGGCTCCCACAGGCCTACATCCTTCTCCCTGCACAGGCTAGAGGGCAGCACCCTTTTCTCCTCTAGCTCTCAGAGGAAGATGGCCGTCCTACCCTGACCCAGGACCCGCACGGTGATGCCCCTCACTGCCCATTCCACATGGGTTCTTACGCTTGGTGACGACCCCCTCCAGGCGCACAATGTTGTGATGATTGAATTGGCCCATGATCGTTGCCTCACGCAGAAAATTCCACCACTGAGAGTCCGAATATGTTGACTTTAGGGTCTTGATGGCAACCACAATGCGCTCCTTTCCTGGCAGGCGCAGGGTCCCACGATAGACCTCCCCAAACTCCCCTGCAGCACCACAGAGACAGGAGGTTACCGGGGCAGGAGAGATGTGAGGGAAATCCATGAACAAGGGCACAGAGTCAGCTCCAATGAGACTTACCCTCCCCAATAACGTTCTCCATGGTGACACAGGCCATATCTAGCTCCTTGGTGAACTCCAAGACCCCTCTGCTTGGGTCCTCATAGGGCTGTAGCTCCACATAGGGTTTCAACCAGATCTTCTCCTCTATGGCACAGGAAACAGAGAAAAATAAACACCATGTCACCAAGATTCCTGGGAATCTCTTGACAGTTCATGATTCCTGCAAGAATCAGAGCAAACCAGCCAACAATCATATGTAGACAAACAGAGCCACTCGGAGAAGAGACAAACTAAACTCCAAAGTCAATGCTGGCAGCTAGAGAAGCTGAGTCAGAGCCCAGCAGTCTCTCTCATTAATAATGTCTGACCCACTCCAGACCTTCCCCTGGACCCACTGCCCTCGCTCTCTCTCAGCAGAGCTCCCCACCCATTCCCGGCTTTGGATCTCACCTCGATCAAAGGTTGAGCTGTCATAGTCTGGCCCTGCTTGCCGGTGACAGGTTCGCCTGGAAGACAGAACATAAGAATGGCCATACTGGGTCAGACCAATGATCCATCTAGCCCAGTATCCTGTCTGCTGACAGTGGTCAATGCCAACTGCCCCAGAAGGAGTGAACAGAAACAGGGAATCATCATGTGATTCCTCTCCTGTCATCCATTTCCAGCCTCTGACAAACAGAGGCAAGGGACACCACTGCTACCCATCCTGGCTAATAGCCACTGATGGGCCTAACCTCCATGAATGTATCTAGCTCTTTTTTAATCCTGTAAAAGTCTTGGTCTTCACAACATTCTTTGGCAAGGAGTTCCACAGGCAGACTGTGCACTGCATGAAGAAAAACTTCCTTTTGTTTGTTTTAAACCTGCTACCTATTAATTTCATGTGGTGACCCCTAGTTCTAGCGTTATGGGAACAAGTAAATCTTCTTTTTGGATTGAGCAGTCAATCAACAGATCTCATCTTCTATGTCGCCTTTGGTGAGCAAGTAAACCAATCCTTGTTTGGCAGAGCTGATTATAGATGTTGCATAAAAAGCTGCCAACTGCAGACGTTGTATGTTCTTTTTGGATCCTCCTCTTTTCCTGCAATGCCTGGATATGCTGACTTTTTCCCTTACTTTTTCCATACCTATCATGATTTTATAGACCTCTGTCATATCCTCCCTTACTCTCCTCTTTTCTAAGATGAAAAGTCCCCGTCTCTTTCATTTCTGATCATATGGCACCCGTTCCAAACCCCTAATCTTTTCTGTTGCCCTTTTCTGAACCTTTATGTCATCTTTTTGAAGATGAAGTGACCACATCTCTACATAGTGTTCAAGATGTGGGCGTACCATGTGTCATGATCATGAAGGGTTAGCCAGCATCCTGGGGAATAAGGGGTTAAATATGTCCCTTACCTAAACCAGGTGGCAGGCAGCCAATAGAAATGTAGGTAGGAATTTCAAACTGTGACAAAGGAATTTTTGGGTTTTTCCCTCCTTTGTCTGTAGGGAGGTTTCTCTCCAGCTATTGAAGGCGACAGGATGTCTCCCTCTAAGAAAATACTCTTCAAAGTCTGTAAGGGTATGTCTACACTACAGTGTTATTTCAAAATATCTTATTTCTAAATAGCTTATTTCAAATTAATGCATCTAGACACAAAATGCATTTCGAAATAGCTTTTTGTTATTTCGAAATAGCGCGTCCACACTGAATTGCATTTAAGGCCGGCCGAAACCAGGTCCGGCAGGGCATCAGGTCAGGATTTACTTTATGTGTCTGCTGCCTGAGGCTGAGACCTGTGCTTAAAGGGACCCTCCCCAGACAGCCAGTTCTCAGGTTTCCCTGCTTGTCTACCTCGATGAGGGACAGCAAAGCATTTGTGTCTCTGCGTGCTCTGGTTGCCCTCACTCGGGACACCACAGCACTCTGCAACATGGAGCCAGAGCTGCTCCTGGGCACTCTGGTGCTTCTCTGGGACACGTTGCTGTGAGCCTGGCTGCACTTTTTGCAGGCTACCACCTGTGAGGTCCAGCTGGGGGCTGTCAGTATCCAGGAAGCCCTGAGGGAGAGCTTCCACTCTGAGGAGCACTAGGATCCTCCCTGGTCTGCCCCACGGGGGGGCTTATAACTTATTCCTCCCTCACGTCCTTCCACTTACTCCTCCCTAACCCCCCTTCCTGATGTCAAATAAAATACATGGGAGGAGGGAGCTGGAAGGGGGAAGCAAGAGGACGGGGAAGCTCAGGGCTGGGGTTGATTTTCATGCGAACCTGCTCCTGGGTTCACTTGTGGCCTTTCGTGGCCAGGCTGGCAACTATCCTGCTATAGACGGCCGTGTTCCTCCGTCTAGTGCAGAGATCATGGATGTTGAGGGCACCTCCCCCCCCCCACACACACACCTGAATAAGGTCCATGATCTCCACCCTGGCCCAGGAAGGTGCCCTTCTCCGGGCCCTGGCAGGCTCCTGGGAGCTGGCCGACTGCTCCTAGGGATCCTGTTTTGGGGCCACTGGGTCAGGGGCAGTGACTGCTGGCTCTGGGCTGGCAGGCTTGGAGCTGGCACAGGCACTGTGGCCAAAGTGTACCCCTTTAAGGGCTCTGGGGAGGGGGGATGGGAGAGGTGTGTGCTTGGTTGAGACCAGAGTGGCCATCAGGGCACCCTGGGAAGGTTGGAGGCCCCCTATTTCGAAATAAGTGTCTACACAGCACTTATTTTGAAATGGCAATTTCAAAATTGGTGTTATTCCTCATGGAATGAGGTTTACCAAATTCGAAATAAGCACTCCACTATTTCGAATTAATTTCAAACTAGCGGTTTGGCTGTGTAAACGCTAGAGTTATTTCGAAATAACTTTGCTGTGTAGACATACCCTAAGTAGGATAAAGTTTAGATAAATTCGTTAGGTTTTATTGTTTCATGGTTTGGGAAATGGGATCTGGTCTGAGCATTTAAAAATGGGTTTTACTCTCCTTTGTAACTACGTTCCTGGCCCATGGTCAATTTCTCCTCCATGGCTACATCTAGACTGGCATGATTTTCTGCAAATGCTTTTAACGGAAAAGTTTTCCGTTAAAAGCATTTGCGGAAAAGAGTGTCTAGATTGGCACAGACGCTTTTCGCGATCAAGGTTTTTTTGCACAAAACAAATCTGAGCTGTCAACACTGGCCCTTTCGCACAAAAGCTTTACGCAAAAGGGACTTTTGCCCGAATGGGAGCAGCATAGTATTTCCGCAAGAAGCACTGATTTCAGACAGTAGGAAGTCAGTGTTCTTGCGGAAATTCAAGCGACCAGTTTAGACAGCTGGCAAGTTTTTCCACAAAAGCAGCTGCTTTTGCGGAAAAACTTGCCCGTCTAGACACAGCCCATAAGTATATTATTTTGTTACTGTTCCATCTAGTCATTATGCTTGCAACAGGAATACTGTGGTGATAATAAAAGTTCATTTTCTTTTCTTTTATTAACCTGGTATTGGTTAATTTGTGTGTCCTGGTTTGTACTTTAGGGGTGAGATTTCCCAAGTAGTCTCTCCCTGGTTGCTTAATTAATATTTGGGTGGTGGCAGCGGAGATTTTATCCCCAAAATCTCGGTTAAGATTTTGGGGGGAAGTTTTATACGAAAGCCTGGTAGATAAGGTTTTGAGGTACTTTTGCTGCCCCCATTTCTGCATTTATCGTGCCAGAGTGGGCAAGGAGCCATGACACCATGTTTTTAATGATTCCTAACATCAACTATCTTGAGCAGTTTGGCATCATCTGTGGGTGTTCCACTCTAGGTGATAGGTTGCCCGGAGCTGCAGATCGGAGCCTTGCAAAGCAGTTTCCCTTGTGAGGCCTCATATGCACAGGAAGCATCTCGAGACGCTCCCGCCCGAGTGTGCCAATCACGCAGCTCAACCCCTCCCTTTCAGTTCCTCTTTTACGCCTGAGTAAATAAGACTGTGAGCAGAGGGGAGGAAGGGAGGGTCGCAGAACACCTATGGGGACACACATCTCAAATAACAGTTGTTACTGCACAAACTAAGTAACTCCCTTTTCTTCTTCGAGTGACATCCCTGTGGGTGCTCCATGATAGGTGACTACAGAGCAGTATTCGACTCGGATGGCAGGAGTCAGAATCATTGTTTAACAGTGGTGGACAACACCACTGTAGCCACTGCTGAATCGGAAGCGAATTGTGGTAAGATGGCATAATGTTTAGCAAAAGTGTGGTCTGATGACCACGTGGCAGCTCAGTAAATGTCTCTTAAGGGGACACTGTTCAAAAAGGATGCAGAAGTAGCTGTAGCCCTACTAGAATCTCTAACCAGTCCCTCAATGTCTATCTGTTCTCTCCCCAATGGACGACCAAGCCCTACCCCATCCCCCCCACACACATACACAGCCAGGCTCCTCACTTCATAGTTCCTTCCTCACAGTACCTCCCGACCCCTCTCCGGCCTGTACCCTTTTCGCCCAGGAAGGAGCAAAGTTTACCTTTGTGTGAAGATGATCCCCACGACCAGCCCGATGAACACCAGGATTCCAAAGATAATGGAGACCAGCACCCCACCAGATGGAGCCCCAGTGTCTGTGGGACAGAGTAACAGCTCCTCACTTCATAGTTCCTTCCTCACAGTACCTCCCGACCCCTCTCCGGCCTGTACCCTTTTCGCCCAGGAAGGAGCAAAGTTTACCTTTGTGTGAAGATGATCCCCACGACCAGCCCGATGAACACCAGGATTCCAAAGATAATGGAGACCAGCACCCCACCAGATGGAGCCCCAGTGTCTGTGGGACAGAGTAACAGTCACACACTTTCCCCACACAAATGCAAATGTAGGATGGGAAGGCAACACCCAGCCTTGTCTAGCAAGTGGTACTGAACAAGCCAGGGCCATCTGCATTCCTTAGTACTGGGCAACAGTGCAGGACTACAAGTGGCTGGAAATACCTGCTGTGTCATTTCAGTGAACATTGGGATGGGAGCAGGGAAGGACTAGTGCTGACACATTCTGAGGTGTGGCCATCTGCCAGAATGGACTTTCTGTGCTAGTGCACAGCCATGTGACACTCTGAGGGTACATCTACACTTGCTCCCTAGTTCGAGGTAGGGATGCAAATGTAGGCGACCGAAATTGCTAATGAAGCGGGGATTTAAATATCCCGTGCTTCATTAGCATGATCTCGCCGGTGTGTTACTCCGCTCAACAGCTGATTCGAACCAGGAAGTATGTGCCGGGACGCGTTAGTTCAAACCAAGGGGTTCTCATTTTTTGAGGAGTAACATTAGTTTGCACCACGGGGTTTGGTTCGAACTAACGTGTCCCGGCTCACACTTTCACTTTCGAATCAGCTGTTGAGTGGAGTAACGTGCCGGCGAGATCATGCTAATGAAGCGCGGGATATTTAAATCCCCACTTCATTAGCAATTTTGGTCGCCTACATTTGCATCCCTACCTCGAACTAGGGAGCAAGTTTAGACATACCTTGAATGTATAAGCCAGCAGGTCTGAGCCAAATACCATTGCACGTGAGCTAGGGATGTAATAGTGTAGTCGATTAACTGATTAACCAATAAGCAAATGCTTACAGATTGCTATAGACTACACGCACTCCCTTTCCCTTCCCCTACCAACAATTTTTTGAGCAGGTTGGAAAGCAGCCCAACTCAGTCCCTGGCTTGCAACGAGTCCAGGACTTCCCCCTGCTGCAGCTCTGCATTTAAAGTGTATTAGAAGCCATTCGGGCAGGCAGCCTGGCTCAGTTCTGGCTCACACCGGGTCTGGGAGCTCAGACACACACCCCAGACAGAGGCTGCTGCCATCCCGTGCTGTTGCCTCTTCATCAGAGGCAGCATCACAGGGCGACAGGCAGCCAGTCTGCAAGGGGAACTGGTTTTTAAACTGACTCCCCTCGCACACCAGTTCCCACCTGGCACCCCACGCTGCCTCTGATACAGAGGCAGCAATGTGGAGTGGCAGAGGGCTCTTCGGGAGTGGGGCCCAAGCACACTGGCTGCTGTCCCTGCCCCCGGGGACTATAGAATAGTCAAGTAACCGATAAGAATTCATGAGGTTACTCAACTATTCAATTAATCAATATTTAACATCCCTAACATGATTCATGAACCATAGTTCACCTTCAAACGGGCGTTTGGCTGATTCCCAGCTAAGACTCCGATAGATCTAGCAGACTAACTGTAGACTCCCATTTTAAAAATATTGGTCCTAGTTAGAGTCTTGCTACACAGCTTGTGCCCTGTGTTTGAATAAAGCACATTCTCTTCTCCACTCTGATTCCGGAGAGCAATTCTAGTCCATAGCAGTCCAAGCAGGTTTATTACAGCAGAACTAGGTGACAGTTTAAATTATACCTTTTTATCTCTCACTGCCTCTTTTTGGGTATGTCTACACTACCACCCTAGTTCGAACTAGGGTGGTTAATGTAGGCAACCGAAGTTGCAAATGAAGCCCAGGATTCGAATTTCCCGGGCTTCATTTGCATGTTGCTGGGCACCGCCATTTTTAAAGCCCCGCTAGTTCGAACTCCGTGCCCGTGGCTACACGTGGCATGGACTAGGTAGTTCAGATTAGGCTTTCTAATCCGAACTAGCTGTACGCCTTCCTAATCCGAACTAGCTAGTTCGTGCCGCATGTAGCCGCGCAGCACGCAGTCCGAACTAGCCGGCATTTAAAATGGCACCGGCCGGCTTTATGCAAATGAAGCCCGGGAAATTCAAATCCCGGGCTTCATTTGCAACTCCGTACGACTACATTACCCCCCCTAGTTCGAACTAGGGGGTTAGTGAAGACATACCCTAGGAGAGCTGGGTGAATTATTGTCATTGACTCACTTACCTGACAGAGCTTCTCAAATCTTCTTTGTTGTTTTTTATTATTGTTTTTCACCCAATTCTAATGACACCTTAATTCTCTAGAAAATTTAACAAGTGGGACATTTGGGGAAACACACATGAGAAAGAAAAAAACCTAGGGAATTCCTAAAGAACTCTTTCACTGAAGGAAGAGACAATGTTTCACTTACAAGCGATGCAGTTCCGAAACCCAATGAAAAGTGTCAGGGCTAGCAGAAATAGTGTAACATGAAGGAAGGGAAAGTTCAGGCCAGATGGTAGGACATGATGGTGTGATCATGGTTGGAAGCCAAGTAGAACATAGCCAGACGTGGCCCCAGATAACATGAATACCAAAAGTGGCCTTCCCCCGTTCTTTCCTCTCACAACGGCGTGCACTGGGCAAAGAGCCTAGCAAGAAGTCAGGAGCCCTGCATCCCACCTTGAGAGAGAGGGCAGTTGTGCCTTACCTAGTGGGAGGGTGCGGAACTCCTGTTCCTGGGAGTAGGGGCCAATGCCCAGTGGGGTAATGGAGCGCACACGGAGCAGATAAGCTGTGTCTGGCTGCAGGTCCTTCAGGGTCACGTTGGGTTCGTGGAACTGCTTCACTGTGTAGTGTGCATCCTCTCCCTGCAGAAGCCGGAGAACCAGTTATCTGGATGACAAGCACATCCATGGAAAGAAAGGGCGCCAGTCTCGGAGTGCCACAGCAAAACAAGTAAGGGTTAGAGCAGATGTGCCTCTCACCTTCTCAAAATACATGACCTCGTACTGCACTGAGCTCCGGCTGCGGGGCCGGGGGGCTGGCCAAGACACAGACAGGCTGCTGTCGTCACGCTGGGTGAGGGTCAGGTGGGACACCGTTACTGGAGCTGCAGGGGACAGCAATGGTATGAAGCAGAAGTAGAGGAGAACATAAACTAAACCCCTCCAGGCTCTGTGCAGCCCCTTCAGCCTTGCTGCTCCTGCTGACCCGTGGGCACAGCATTCAGCTCATCTCTCTCTGGCGTGGCTAAAGGGAAGGTTGGAGTGCAGTGGCAAAGCACTGCTGATGCCAAGGGCCCAGCAGAGGGAGCACGTCTCAGCTATGATTTTGTTGGACTTGCAAAACATCATCCACGCTCACAGTAGCTCTGTTAACCCACCAGCAAGGTGGAGACTTTAAATGCAAAAAGGAATTTCCAGAGTTAGGGCTCCCACACTTAACAGTCAGACTACTGACAGTGAAATACCATTGTGAGACTCCCCACGCATCACCTCTCAGCCTGTCCAGGGCTACTGTGCTCTGTTTAGGTGTAAAAGCATGGCAGCTCTGTGAATTATCCCGGGATCCAAGAGTCAAGCCACACTCTTACTGTCTTGCATCATCACAGGTAATCAAGACTGCACAGAACTTTAAATTTAGCTGGGAAAACTCCAGACTTCAGTGGATTTTCACTAGTGTAAAGGGCACTTCATAAACACATCTGTCAATGTCATATGTACCAGGGAAAACTTCAGCTCCCTGGTTCTGAGCTATGTTAGCTCAGCAGGGTGAGAAGAAACCAAAAACAATTAAACCCTTATTTACATACCTAAGCCTAGCAGCAGTGACTGGGGAAGTGCGCAGACAGAAGGTTTGCTGGCAAGAAGGTGCTACTCTCCCACAGCCTCTTTTCAGAATAAAGCCACATCTTAAAGAGATACAGGCTATCCTAACTAGCAAAGTGAAGCCCAACTCTCCATGTGTGCCATGGGGACAGGCGAGTGCTGAGTTAGGAACTTGCACTTGAAAATGTCCTGATCTCACTGTGTTTAAAGGCTCCCTTTACACAAAATGTTGTGGTTTGCTTATTTGTTGCATAGATAGGGTGGGGCGGTGTCTCACTCTACAGGCCCCGTTCTGCTCTGCTGGGGAGGAGGGGAGAGAGTCCCATCGCCCTGCACCAGTGTAAGTGAGAGCAGACTTGAGCCCCATCACGCTGCAAAGCACCTGGTAAACTTACTGCTTTTTCTAAATAGCTATTACAGACATGACTTTGGTTTATAAACAGAACAGTGAGTGACAGCCCCAAAGACTCTCAGTGACTCTCTTCTCAGCTCCCATTCCCTTAATCATTCCCCTACCCTCCTTGGTGACTCACCTATGTGCCCAACAGAGACCCAGACGGTAGGGGAAGTCCTCGGGGGGGAAAGGCTGACCTCTGAGACACCATTATGTGCCTTCACAGTGAAGCTGTAGTTGGTATAAGCCTCTAGACCATCCACCTCTACGGAGGTACTGGTGAGGCCTGAATCACTAGGGGAGAAGACCACGCTAGCCTCACACGCCTCACATGCCCGGACTGAGCAGCGCTGGCATGAGATGCTGTAGGTCAGATCCTTGCGCCCACCACGGTCTCTGGGCGGCTGCCACCAAAGGGAGAGTTGCGTCCCCATCAGGGAGAAGCTGACGTTGCGGGGAAGAGAAGGGGGGCCTGCAGAGAGTGTGGAAAGAGAGAGAGAGAGAGCGCTAGATCCCAAATCACAAACCAGTTGTTTCTCTTCCCCTCAGGACCTGCGTTTCTCCCTGCGCCGTAAGGCACTTTCCTCCCCCCAGCACCAGCATTCCACTCTCCAAAACCTTCTTCCTGCATCTGGACCTGCCCCCATCCCCTGCCTCTTCTCCACATTGCCCTGCTCCTCCCCCGGCCCGGACTCACGAGTGCAGGCAACGCTTTGGCCCTCAGTGGGTGCGCGGTAGAAGTCTGGGTTGCACGGGCAGGCTGTGGCCCCTGTATCACTGGATGAGCTATTTGGGGGGCACTTGAGGCAGCGTTCCGTCTCAGGGGAGTGGCGGTAGAATCCTTGCTGGCAGGCTGCAGACACACACACACACAAACAGGGAAGCACTGGGTTAATGGAAAGTAGCCAGCCAGCCCTGCCTGGTTCCCTCCTCTAACTCCACAGCCCCGGTACCCTCCCTCTCTGCTGGCCCCTCCCTGTAAAAAACACAGCACTCAGGACCTCCTGCCTACTCAAATCCAGCAAATTTCGCATCCCTTCACGATGCACACCAAACCTGGCTGTGCCACCCAAGCCTTCAAACTCCAGAGCCAGGTGCGGTCTAGACCACTAGGGAATGCTGGCACATCTTCGTTCCCCTCTACCTTCCTGCGGCATCTGCCTGTCCCAAAGAGCAACTGAGAGGCAGACTGCACGCAGCCTGGCACCAAGAAGATGCCCACCCTCTCATGGAGGCCTTCTTTTTGTTCTTTCTTGTTTGACTGCTTCCCTTCATCTAACATGAGACTCACAGGAAGTACAGGATTCCAGTTTGGACTGTGGAAACCCATAACAATGAGGGCTGACAACTGACATGTGTTTAAGCCTGGGGACTGACTGCTAGAAGCAGTGAGTGGCCTTGCTGATCTTGACTGTTGTGGCAATGTATTTCTTGGCCAGCAAGTTCTAGACCTGGGGTGACCAACCAGTTCTGAGGCAGTAGCCATTATAATGGCTACTGCTATAGTGAACTAGCCACTCAACCCGCCAAATAGCTGCACATGGCTAGTGTCTTGGCCCCCACAGTTCTAGCCCAATGGTGAACTCTGAGCTGTATTTGGATGCAGCTGGACACAAAGTCTTTCCCAACACAGATCTACTACCAAGGAAGCTGCCTATCCACAGGCACTAGGCTCAGTGCGCATCACAAAGACAGAACGCTCCTCACAGTGGGAAACAGTCATACAAAGCGGCTGGGATTTTCTGGGTGCCATGGCAGAGAGGAAAGCTTCCTGCACCTCCCAGCACTGCCCCAGCATAAGGTTTAAACAAACCCCTTGATACTATGACCAGTTAGCACTCCTGGGGCTGGCAATACTCTCCCAGCCTAAGAAATGCTTTACCTTAGACCTGGCAAGCAGTCTCCTTGTGCTCAGCCTCCCTGTGCCAGTCTCAGAGACTGGAGAGCCCAAGACTCCAGAAATGACTTGACTCTGTTCCCCCAGATCCCTACTTAGTGATGGTGTTAACCAGCTCTCTCAGCCACCTGACAGTGGTGGCTGAAGTGATGCAGTTGCTGCAGCTGATTCCTGAGTAGCAACCTCAAGGGTGGGAAATAAAAGCCATTGGCTATGCATTTCTCATCTTGCTGAAGTCAGGATAAAGCACCACCCCACCTCAAAACCCTTCATAAACCCAGAGGAGCAGCAGCATGATCATACCACCAGGCAGACAGAGGGCACCTCTTGACCAAGGCTGCAAAGCAAGTCAGTGGCAGAGCCAGGAATGGAACTCAGGTTTCCTCACACTCTCTAGAGCATACTGCTCTCCAGGCAGCGGTGAGAGTAACTTGCAATTTCTTACGGGTACTGTCCTGTTGTAACCTGGGTCCCTGCCAGCTCTTTCTATAGCTCCCTGCTGGTTTTTGCCGCAGCTCAGCCAGCTCTTGCAAGAGCTGCGCACCAGGGCACACCTGCTTACTGTGACCTCTGCTCCCAGGTATGTGGAAATGGCAGATATACCCAGCCGCTCTCTCTCAGGTGAGCAAGGGCTGAATGGGGAAGCCAAGTGGAGGGGATTTCCCAACCCATATCATCACTTTACCCCCAGAAACTTGATTTTCTCCTCCCTGCATCTCAACTCCATCATGTCCAGCAATGTCATTTACATCCTCTTGTCATCCACAATAATCCTGCCACCTTTTAGGGACTCTCTCCGCCCTCCTCAGCTGGCAAGGACTGCAGGTGGGCTATTCAGGTTGGACAAGGCCTGGTGAAGCAGCAGCCACAAGGAGTTTCCAAGTGCTACAGCCAAGGAGATGGGGGAGTGTGACTTTATAACCTCCCTTTACACTATCCTGACGTATGTACTCATATACTGTCCTTCTCCCCTCTCCTCCCCCATGCGGCTGCTGTTGGGGATAGTGGACAGGCCCATCGGAAAACACAAGGTGGGGATGAGGCATCCTTTGGTGTATAGCAGAAAGGGCATTTGACTTCAGTGCCCTCCACCTCCATACTTTTAGGTGGCATATTTGGTCCAGCTATCCCTTTGTCAAGATTGGGGGGGGGAGGGAGCTGGGCCTGGCCAAACGGGAAGAAGGATTGAACGCCTCTGCCCTGACAGCCAGCCAGGAAGCAGCAGCCGTCGGGACTGGAATTGAGGCCAGCTCTTGCAAGAGCCCAATCCTTGTGCCAGACCAGCCACTAGTGAGGAACCCTCATCTACATCTGTGCAGCTCACTGCCATGCTTCCCATGCTAGGAACAGCTCGCTGCCTCCCCGCAGCCCTCTCCCCACACAAGCAGCACAGCCTAGCCTCAGTAGCCTCAGCGGGGAGGCCGCAACAGAGAGGCTGGCATCACTTCCCTCTCTCCTCCCACCCTCCCCGAAGTCTTCTGCACTGGCACCCCAGGGTGATGAGTGCCGAGCGAGACAAATGAAGTGCTGCTCGTTAAGGTAAGAAAGCAAGGTGGGAAGCTGGCGCAGGCCTGTGCAGAGTATGCTGGAGAGCAGGGGAGGGATGGTGCCTAGAGTCTAACAGGGAAGAGGCATGCCAGGCAGACAAGCCTGTCACCACACTAAGCCAGCAGGAGAGAATGGAATGAAACCAGGGGAGCTGGAGGGTGCAATAGCAACAAGCACCAGCAGGGGGCAGCACCACAGGAAGATCCTCACTGCAGCTCAGTTTGTGGCAGCTTTGCTGCCCTCACCCAAGTCCCCTTGCTGCCCTGGGGACTTGGGTGGGGACTCCACACCAGGGATGTTAAATATCGGTTCATTGAATAGTCGAGTAACCTCATGAATTCTGATCAGTTACTGAACTATTCTATAGTCCCTGGGGTGGCAGCCAGTGCGCTCCGGCCTCACTCCCGAGGAGCCCCTGCCACTCCGCACTTCTGCCTCTGTATCACAGACAGCAGCACAGGATTCCACGTGGGAGCTGGTCCACAAGGGGAGCCAGTTTAAAAAGCAGCTCCCCTTGCAGACCGGCTGCCTGTGGCCCTGCACTGTTGCCTCTGACACAGAGGTGGCAGCAGCCCCTGTCCGGGGTTGCGGGGAGGCTGAGCTCCCAAACCCAGAGTGAGCTGGAACTGAGCTGAGCTGCCTGCCCCCAATACACTTTAAATGCAGAGATGCAGCGCTGGGTTCAGGACCCACCCGTGAGCCAGAACTAAGCTAGGCTGCCGGCCAGCCTGCTAAAAATTTTACTGGCAGGGTTGGGGGGAATGCATGTATTCTAGAGCATTAACCCATAAGCTTTTGCTCATCGGTTAACCTGTTAATGGACTACACTATTACATCCCTTCTCCATATTGTGAAAGCTCATCTCTTTTGGTCCCTGCAATATTTCTTCTGTCTGTGGAGGATGCATTGTGAGCCAGGGAGAGAAGGTGCCTGGAGATGACAGCAGGAGCCAGGCTGGGCTGAAAGGGGTGGCTAGGCAGAGCTGTATTTTCAGGGATGGAGGGCGAACCAATGCCAGGAGCCTAAAAGCGGACAGTGGGGTGAGAAACTCAGTGTGGGGCTGCTCTAGCAGCATAGTGTTGGGGGGCAGGGATACTGAACTGTTTCCGCTGCCCTAGCTGTGCCACTTCCTTGGCCAGCCATTTGTATCCGAGGCTAAGATGAGTGCACTGCCCTCCCACCCTCATCGCCAACTCGCTGGCACAGAAGCCAGCCCCAGACTTCAGCCCCTCATTCAAAGCAAGGCTCCACCCGTCTGGCTGGCCCCATCCCAGAGCTGAGAGCTCTGATTCACATGTGGGAGGAGCATGAGAGATGGGAGCAAGTTTCAAATACATCAGATACAAAGTGGGGTGCCCCCATCACATTAGCAGGAACTGAGCACCCTTCCCTGTGGGGGTGGCGCAGAGGGTGGGACTTGCCCCAGGCACTCATGCTATCACTGCTGCTACGTCCCACCCAGCAATTATTTTTAAGAAGGCCTGTGTGGGCCCATCAAACAGGAAGAGGAACAGCAGAGAGCTGCTGTCCTCAGTGCTCCCAGAGTGGGAGGGGACTCCCCGTTAGAGATTTAAGCTGAGTCCCTCCCAGACTTTCTGCCCCACCTCCACATCCCCCACTGCCTGTTTGCCCAGCCTTCTCCGTGCGTGCACACATACCCTGCATACGGCAGCTTTACTGTTTGGAATTAAAGTTCGAATAAACCAGATGGGAAAATAGGCTCTGGGAAAGGCAGAGGACCTGGACTGCCCTCATGAGGGCAAAGATCAGAGATGGCTACCCTGCCCTTCATTCACTGTTTTACAAGAACTTATGAGGTGCCCATCACTAGGGTGACTGGGCACATTATGAGGGTTAAGGTGAGGTGCTCAAGGGTTCAGGTGTCAGAGACCAAACCACATGCTCCCGGCAGCTTTGCCAGCCAGCAAGGAAACCAGGACCCAATAAGCTTGGAAGGCCTGGCCAAGAGAGGAATCTAGCACCTTCATAATCAACTGTATCACCGCAGGGACCTAATACCAGAGGCATAGGTTGGTCACTGGAAATGCTACGCCATCAGTGCCCACAAGCAGCACCCTTGGCTGCAGAGCTGTAGCTCTCTAGCGGAGCACAAGGTGGTGGGCACACAGGGGTAAGGTGTCTGGGCTCAGACCCCTTACGGGTTTGTGGTCTGGTATCTCTACCTGGAAAGTCACCCAGCACTGCCAGCAGTTGTCTGAACTAGTGCACAGCTGGGATCCCTCCACATTTCAATTACTATCCCTCCTCATCCTCTTTTTCCGAGGCAAAGGTCAACGATGTCTCCCTCCCCCTTATCACAGGGCACAGCTGGATCTCCCCAGCCCTCCATCCCCTCCCGGGAACCACTCTGCTGTCTGATGGGAAGAAGGGTGGAAAAGCCAGAGCTGAGTCCTCATCATCCCCTTGCCAGGAAAGATGGATGGACCCCATCTCCTTCCCGGGGCAAAGGCCAGAGCCATGATCCCTGCCGCTACTACTTCAGCAAGAGAGCTAGATCTGTTTTGATCTAATGCAGGGCACTTGGCCCCTGGCCACTGGCAAGCAGCTGGAATGGAGAGCTGGGCAGGCAAACATTTGCCCTAGACCTGCCGTTCCTTCCTTGCATCCACCAAGGAGAGGCCACATCAGGCTTTGCTATTCCATCACACACACACCCCGCCAACTCCCTGCTGGGAGATTTTCCCCATCCCTGCTGTCCTGTGGGTGGACACATCTGACTTCAGCTGTACCTGGGCTGGGAGGGGCTGCCCTGCCCCATGACAGTGCTGAGGACTAGTCCAAGCATGATGGTTTCCCTGCCCCTACCCCAGAGAGCACTCAGTTCCCAGGAGGGCGGGGAGAGTTCAGCAGCTAAGTGGAAAAACTGGCTGGGCTATAGAGGGAGAGCCGAAGGGAGGGGCAGGGATCCATGCCGGAGACTCACTTAACCTTTCACCAGCTCCCAGAGCAAGGCTGCAGGAACCCAAGCAAGTGCCCACACTGGAGCAAACAGGGAGAGCAAGGCAGAGACAGGGGATCGCTCAAGGTCCCTACAGACCTGAAGGATCCAGTGTGAATTGCCTGACTCTTTCCTTTTCATTACCACAGCTGCAGCCATGCAGCAATGAGCAGCAATGTATTACTTGTGGGGCACAGTCCCTACCCCCCAGCAGTGATATAGGATCAGCAATGGGCCATCCACATAGCCTCAGTACACCCCCTTTCTCTCCTGCTGCTACAGCCTGGAAGATGGCTCACAGCACCGCCTCTCCTCTCACCACCAAGGGGAGACTCCATCTGCTCCTATGATGGGACCAGTTCAGTTTGCCAGGTGTTCCCCTCCTACAGCAGGTGTGCCCATGCCCTCTATTCATGCTGCTGAATGAGCAGGAGTGCCGTGCCCATCGCACAGCACAGCAGAATTCTCTCCCACTCAGGAAGTGCGTGTGCACTATGCACTGGGAGCACCGATCTGTCCCACCCATGCACCCGAGTTCCTGGCCAGGGGACAAAGATGCAGATCTGTCCACCTAGTCTACCCTGACCTGGGTGCTACACTCCAGAGAACAAGGCAGCTATTTAAGAGTTGGGAGCTGGCTGCTGCGTGAGTCAGTGTCAATCATACTTACAGCTCCCAGAAACCGGCTTCAGATCTGCAGGCCTGCTGGAAGGAGACCAAGAGGGAGTGAAGGCGTGTGTGCAACTGCTAAGCCTGAGGGAGGTGAGGCAGGGGAGGAGACAGGACCGAAGGAGAGAAATAAAGAGAAATTCACAGACAGTAGGGGTGAGAGATAGGGACACAGAGAGCAAAGCAGTAGACAGTTCAGATGCACTTAGGGCAGCTCCAGATCAGGAGAGTATAATTCACTTCTCACCCCCTGCAAACACTACCCTAGCCAGATCTCCCTCTCCCCACCACTGCCCTTACAGCCGCCTGCCCCCTTCCCACCGCCAAGCACCTACCTACACAGCTTCTGTCAGCCTCCTCAAAGCCAACAGCACACAGGCACCGGCCCATTGGCACCAGCCACTCCCCATCAGCACTGCAATGCATCCTGGGTGGGAAGCCTGCTTCTTCGGCTGCATCGTCTACACAGCTCCCTGTTACCTCTGTCAGTCCTTCTGAGCCCGCCAATGTCTCTGGAAAGTGAGCCAGTCTCTGCACTATTTCTGGGCAGGCCTTGTAATATACCCGGACAGAGACCAGAGCCACACAGGCCCCAGTGTTCTGGAAAGCCAAGTAGAATCCGCGCCGAGACATCTTCTGTATGGGGCACACTTCCACATTCAGCTGTATAGTGCCCGACTCAATGTCTTGCCTTGTGAAAGTCCGATCTGCTGCCACTGTGTTGATCTGAATAGGAGAGTAAGAATCAAGATCTATGGCACTAGAAGGTTCTTCCTTCCTGAGTACATCTGTCAGGCATTTGGCATCCCAAAGCCTCTGTAATAAGAGTGCAGAGACCTAATGGATGGGCCAGTGCTCTGATCTCTGTAACTTCAGTTAGTCAACTGTCACTGGGGAAACTGACAGTAGAAATAGCTAATCTGAGCGGGAAGATGAATGAGTGAAGGAACTAACTGGCCCATCAACTGGCTATCTTGGCCAGGAATTTGGGTGCATGCATGGGTGGGAAGGGTCAGAGCTCTCACTGGAATGAGACAGAAAGGAAGCATTAACAGGAGGGGAAGACAAGGTTAGCTATGCCCAGACTGAAGTGGACTCCAAGAACAGGAGGTCTCCCTCCTTGCAGGAAGAATAGGTAATAGGGTCATAGGTATTAGAATTGTTACAGCAGTGCACAAATGCTGATGAAGGCAACTTGAATAACTTTGACTGAGTAGACACTAAAGAAGAGAGTCTGAAGGGCTTACGCAGGGAATAAGTCGGGGGAGGGGGGGAGAAAACCTATGTCCTGTTACAGCCTTGCTTGCAACTCCTTTCTCTATGGCCTCTCTCTAGCCCATGTGCTCTGGATTTCAGGATCTGCCCATCTTTGCATACGAATGACGAAGCACAGACACATCAGACCAGTGCACTCGTTAACCACTGTTTCCCTCATTTCTTAGAACTCCTATGGATGTCCCCCATCCACCTCACAATTCTTGTTTCTACTCTCTCCCACTGGCTCTTCACTTCGCTCCTCTTCAAGAGCTGAGTGACTGAATCATTGTGTTTGTACAACACCTAGCATAAGGAGGCCCTAATCTCAGGCAGGCCTTTGGGGACTGCCCCTGCCCACTTACAAACTACAGCAACAAGTCATTCTTCTCAGGTGGAAGGTTTCTTTTTCTGTCAGCAATTTGTCTACCAATACACAGTGATGGTCTTTGGACTGGTTTATTTGAAATTAGGTGCTGAATAAACTTTTTCTCCTCTAAAAATCTCAGCCTGAAAAGTCTCTGCAGTCAACTGATAATTAGCTCACCAGAAACTTCTATTGGGCTCCACTGCCATCTTTGGATGCAACAGCAGATGTGAGTGTTGGGGAACTGGGAAGCTGTTGCTGTAAATCTGGTTGCAAAGAAGTAGGTGTTAAAATTCTACACATGCACACACACAACACCCCACAAAAACTATTTCAAGTTACTTGTGTCCCAGTCTGAAGGGAGAGGGGAAAAGAAAGAGGAGATGAGGTAGTGTTGCCTAGTGGATACAGAACTGACCTGTTGTGTGACCTTCAGCAACCCTCCTCACAGCTGTGCCGCAATTTCCCCTTCTGTAAAACGGTGATGCGATTCTGTCCTCTTTTATAGAGTGCTTTGAGATCTACTACATTTCATCAGTAGATCAATGAACATAGGCCATACCTACAGGATGTGGGACTCAGCCCTGAGAAAGTGTGACTCTGAAAAAGATGTGGGGCTTGTGGTGGATAATCAATTGAACGTAAGCTCCCATTGTGACGCTTTGGCTAAAAGAGCTAAGGTGATCTTGGGATGTATAGACCAGGACAGCTCAAGCAGAGGCCCAGAAGTTTTGTTACCTCTGTATTGGACACTGGGGTGACCATTGCTGGAATAGTGCATACAGTTTTGTGCTCAGAAATTCAGCGCATGTTCGTACATTGGAGAGGATCCAGAGCAGAGCAGAGCCATGAGAAAGATTAAAGGTTTAGAAAACTTGTTTTATAATGACTGAACTCACTGAGTCTATTTAACAAAGAGTTAAGGGGTGACTTGATTACAGTCTATTAGTATCTGCAGGAAGAACAGATTTTGATAATGGACTCTTCAATCTACCAGAGAAAGTTATATGAGCCGAAAACTGGAAGCTGAAACTTGACAAATTCAGACTGGAAATATGATGTAAATTGATCAGTGAGATTAACCTCTGAATTAACCACTGGAAGAATTTACCAATAGTCTTGGTCAATCGCTGCCAATTTTAAAATCAAGATGGGATGATTTTCTTCTAAAAGATTCACTCTACATATTATTTTGGGGAAGCTCCAAGGCCTGTGTTATAAAGGAGGTCACAATGGTCCCTTCTGGCCTTGGAATCCATGAATGAGCTGGGTGATGATGATTAGTGACTCTTTAGCACTAGAAACCCCAACTTCCTCCTACCTGTCAGAAATCCCCAGCTGTCCCCTACCCCAACTGCTAAATCTCCAGAATGTCACTAGAACACAGTGGAAGTGTGGGGGCAGCAGCAGGAGTAAGTGGCAAAATGTAAGTTTAACATCAAAATAAAGAACCCCAATTAATTTGCAAGCTACTTATATTTTTCATTTTCCTGTTTAATTCAGTAGAACTCTCTGGGCTTGAGGTTACTAGAACCGCTGCAGAAATTCCAAGAATTTATCACAATGTGTTGCTGAAAATACAGAGGGGAGAACTGCCAAGGATGTAGATCTTTGGTTTGCCACAGAGCACACTGGGCTTTGATCATGGAAGACGGTTTAAAGGAAAGCTGAGATTCTCTTCACTGGAATTCATCTGCTTCTGGGGCAGAAGGGACAATAAATACCACAGCCAAATGAAACTGCAGGAGAACCAAAGGGCAGCAGAGTGTAGAGACTCAAACAAGAATTTGGTGCAGCCAATGGGAGCATTGCCTCCAGCCTCAAAGAAAAAGCCATGTGCTCTTTTCTGACTAGTGGTCAGACTAGGGGAGTAGGCATCAGGAGACCTGTGTCCTGTTCCTTTATCTGTCCGGACTTGCTTTATTACCTTGAGAAAGCCACTTGATCTCTCTTGGGTTTTAGTTTCCCTATTTCTAAGATGAGGATCATAGAGCTGGAAGGGAGCTCAAGAGGTTACCAAGTCTAGGCCCCTGCTCTCATGGCAGGACCAAGCATGGTCTATATCATCCCTGATAGATGTCTGTCTATTCTTAAATATCTCTAGTGATGGAGATTTCACAACCCCCCTTGGTATTTTATTCCAGTTTTAACCACCCTGAAGTTTTTCCCAATGTCCAACCTAAACTTCCCTTGCTGCAGTTTAAGCCCATTGCTTCTTGTCCTATGCTCACAGGCAATGAAGAGTGACTTTTTATGAAGATGATATTTGTCAGAAGCCTGTTACAGAGTCCTTGGATAAGTGCAAAGCATAAACATTACACATGCTCAGGCCCTCTATTCTACAGCTCATTTGACAATTGATATCTCCTGCAGCTGGGGCAAGAGAGCATTTCCTATGGCAGCACTCACTCTCCTCCCTACGAGACCCTGACTGCCTTGGAGGTCTCCCATCTGGCTAGCCCCATCTAGTTTAGGATGGGGGGGGGTCAAAAGGATTCCCCACACCACAGCTGCTGACCTTGGTGAACAGGGGGCGACGGAACTGGATGCCAACATCCTGATCAGACTCCATATAGTAGAGATTGAAGGTCTCTTTGCAGGACACTGCCTTGCCATTGAAGCTCTTGCAATCCCGTACAGTGAACTTTAGCTCCACGTAGATGCGGGAGGCTGTTTCACCCCGGTAGATCCAGTTGGTGCGGAGCCAGTGATCAGTGTCCCCCTCCGAAAGCACGCTGCAGTCCTGGTACATATAGATGGGGGTGTTTTTTATCATCTGCTGTACCTCACTCCACTGCGCCCAAGGGGGAAAGAAAACAACACACACACACAAAAGCTCATGTTATACAGAGGAGAGACATGTGGCACTTAAATATGCAATAAAACCAGGCCCACAAGATCCAAGCCCCTAAAAACTTGGGATTCAGACCCTGACTAACTTCAAGGCCTTGAACACTGAACAAAATCTGCTTCTGGTTCAGAGAAGGGGTGAAAGGGTATGTCTACACTACCCCGCTAGTTTGAACTAGCGGGGGAATGTAGGCATACCGCACTTGCAAATGAAGCCCGAGATTTGAATTTCCCGGGCTTCATTTGCAAGTGCGGTATGCCTACATTACCCTCCTAGTTCGAACTAGGAGGGTAATGTAGGCATACCGCACTTGCAAATGAAGCCCGAGATTTGAATTTCCCGGGCTTCATTTGCAAGTGCGGTATGCCTACATTACCCTCCTAGTTCGAACTAGGAGGGTAATGTAGGCATACCGCACTTGCAAATGAAGCCCGAGATTTGAATTTCCCGGGCTTCATTTGCAAGTGCGGTATGCCTACATTACCCTCCTAGTTCGAACTAGGAGGGTAATGTAGGCATACCGCACTTGCAAATGAAGCCCGAGATTTGAATTTCCCGGGCTTCATTTGCAAGTGCGGTATGCCTACATTACCCTCCTAGTTCGAACTAGGAGGGTAGTGTAGACATACCCTAAGTGAGTAGTTGATTAATTGACTGCTCAATAAGCCTAGGCTTATCAGGTAGTTGAGTTGACAACTCGCATTTCCCCTCCCCCTACTTGTTGCCTCTATATCAGAGCCAGGGGGGCAGTGGGACGCAGAATCCAGTGCTGGGGGGGACCTGGCTTAAAAGCTGGTTTCCCCAGCACCCTCTCGGCGGTGCTGCCTGCCCCATCCCCTGCGCTACTGTCTCTATCAGAGGCAGCAGTAGGAGCCTGGGGGCCAGGAGAGGCAGCTCCAGATACAACTTCTATCCTTGGAGGGTCCCAACTCCCTGCTGAGACTGTCCCAACTCCTACTACATTTAAGAGCTGGGCAGGTTGGCAGCCCTGCTCAGTCTCTGCTTGCACCAGGTCCAGGACCAAACTCAGCTGTGGCTCTGCAATTTAAAATGCAGTAAGAGCCAAGGGGCAGGCTGACCGGGTCCTACAGTCTTTTACATTGCAGAGCTGCAGTGGGGTTTGGTCCAGGCACGAGCTGGTACTGAGCCGGCGGCTCTCCCCTATCAACTATATCAACTAATTGAGCAGTCAATACAAATTCTCCCTCTCTACTCGATTAGTAAAATAACCACATTTTAACATCCATAGTTCACAGACCTGAGCCTGCTTTAACCTTGTGAGCAGGGAGCAATACATGTGATCTGCAATCTGGAACTGACTCAGGCCTAGCTGAGAGTGACTCACCACTTCTCCGGGTGTAACGCTGTGGCCAAAAGGGGCTAATATGATTCTTGGATGTATATGCAGGGGAATCTCAAGTAGGAGCAGGTAGGTTATTTTACCTCTGTATTTGGCACTGAGGCAACCACAGCTGGAATCCTGCATCCAGTCCTGGTGTCCATAGTTCAAGAAGGATGAGGTTAAGTTGGAGAGGGTTTAGAGAGGAGCCATGAGAATGATTCAAAGAATAAACAATATGTTCTAGTGATAAATTAGGCTCAAGGAGCTCATAGAGCTATATAAAGAGCAGGTTAATGATTGATGATCACAGTCTAAAAGTACCTACCTGTGGGGAACAAATATTTGACAATGGGCTCTTCAGTCTGAGCATAGAAAGGTATAACACAGTGTAGCCATGGCAGCATGGGTAATACCTGAGCAGTGCCAAGTACCAACACAACTGAGCCGTATGGATATGCAGTGAGCTGGCCTGCCAATGGGGCAGGGGGAAGAGGCAAAGGGGGCAACTGTCCCAGGGCCCAGCAATTCAAAGGGGCCCAGGGCTCCTGGCCACCGCTGCCACTGCTGCAGCAGTGGTGACATCCAGAGCCCTGGTCCCTTTACATCACCGCAGGAGCACTAGAGCAGTGCTCCACACAGCTCTAAGGCCCAGGGGTGGGAGAGGGCACCAGAGCCACAGTCCAGGCAGCACTGAGGGCTGGCTATCCCCAGGCCCATTCCTTCCGCCTGAGGCGCCATCCCGCCCAGGGACACAGACCCAGCTTCCTCACACCTTGCCTGGGGGCCTGCGAAGCTGTGCGCCTCCACCTCCCCCCATAGTGAGTATGGCTAATGCCTTCTATCTGCCCTTGAAAACAGTGTCAACTGAAGAGGTCTCAGACTCCAGCACATCCCCCTCTACAAAGGTAATAGCAGATTGGAGGGTGGAGTGGGTGAGGAGATGGGTCTGTCATAGGATCTCATTGTGGGAGTGTGGGAAGGTCAATCACTGGGCTTGGAGGAAAGAGGATTATTATGCAGTGAGGGACAGATATATGAAGTTCCTATTGGTTTGGCTGTATATCATATTCTTATCAATTCTGAAACCGAATTCTGTAATTCCTCCCTCCCCCCACCCACAGGAGGGAGGAAGTAGTGTATTAAAGCATATTTTTGCTCAGCTAGTGGCAGGTATGATAGCGCTCTCGCAGGCACTATTTGCACAAGCATAGCAGGTTTGGTGCATACTTTACCATGTGCTTTTGCTGAGCTGTGTGTGCTTTTAGTTTTAACTCCCATTCTGAAACCGAATTCTGTAATTCCTCCCTCCCCCCACCCACAGGAGGGAGGAAGTAGTGTATTAAAGCATATTTTTGCTCAGCTAGTGGCAGGTATGATAGCGCTCTCGCAGGCACTATTTGCACAAGCATAGCAGGTTTGGTGCATACTTTACCATGTGCTTTTGCTGAGCTGTGTGTGCTTTTAGTTTTAACTCCCTAGT